GTCGCTGGGTTGGAGCTAACCCTGCATGGCTACTGCATGTGCAGCCGGGGTGCCGCAAGCAGTCTTGGCAGTAGACGTGCTGCGACTTGCACGGCACCGTCCGGACTTGTGTCTCCAAGAACCTCGCGCGGGGCTGCAATGTGATGCAGATCCTGATCCCTTGCTGTCGCCAGCCCCATATGGCAAAAAATTAATTTAAAGTAAACAAAATAAATGAACGAGAGAGAGAGAGAGAGAAAGAGGGAAACAGAGGAAGAGAGAGAGAGAGACCCTAAACCCTAAATCCTAAACCCTAAACCCTAAACCCTAAACCCTACAAGAGTCCAAGGAGCTGGCCCAGGCACATCTCGCAGCTGAGGCCCTCCCGCCGGGGTGCCGACGCCCGGGCCTGCCACTCGAGGGTGTCTTTGACGATGAAGAGGCTGGGTTCTTCGTAGGGAATGAGGGAATGAGGTACCCTATAGAATCCCTTATAAAGGGTATATATAGTATATATAGTATATATAGGTACCCTACAGAATCCCTTATAAAGTGTATATATAGTATATATAGGTACCCTACAGAGTCCCCCCGAATTCCCTCATTTCCTACTAAGAGAGAAGGGGATGAAGAAGTTCAGGGTGCTTTGGGGCTTCCCGACCTTTTGAAAAATACTGGAGGCGCCATGTGAAGTTCAGGGTCCACTGAAGAGCCCTCAGATTCAGGAATGCACCTAGAAGTATCCTTGCGACGAACTCAGGTATCTTGCTTGCTCTCTGGGTCCGCGCAGGAATGGATCCTCACCTTCTCATCTTAGGAGCTCCTAGGAGCCGACCTCACCCGATAAATGCAAGCCCCTCCCCTCCCCCCGACGCTGTCTAAACCCTAAACCCTAAACTTAACCCTTTTCTTAGGGCAAGGACTGCTGCACTCCAACTTAACCCTAAACCCGAAACCCCTTCCTGCCCACCTGGCTTGCGGGCCTCTGAGGGCAGACATGGAGGTGCTCCTCTGCGTTGAGGTTTCTGGTGGACTGGGGGTGTAGGGTGGTTGAGGCATTTGGGCCATTTGGGTGAGTAGTAGCTGCAAGGCTACATTAAGCCTCAGGCTGTTTAGGGGAAGCCAGCAGGTTCTTCAAAGGAATTCAAAGGGAGTTGCAGAGGGAGGGAAGGAGGACACGAAAATCCGGTGTACCTGGCAGCAAGCACATGGAGTTGCATGTTCTGGTTCATGTCTTACTTCATGTCCGCATGCTTCGCACAGCTGGCTCTCCCTTGGTCTCTGCTCTCTTCTCACTTGGTTTAGGGTTTAGGGTTTCGGGTTTCGGGTTTAGGGTTTAGGGTTTGGGGTTTAGGGTTTAGGGTTTAGGGTTTAGGGGGTTATATTTTTCTGCTTCTTCTTGCAACATGTTCGTTTCGTTTCTCGGCACCTGTTGCACGTCTTAAACCCGGTAAACTCTTCAACATCCTTTGAGACACAGCATGAGTTACACATTCTCTTCTCCATCTTGCTATAACGCAACGTCTAGTCTTTAGACATAGCTAGACTGAAAAATCTTCTAAGTTTGACTTAGTGTTGGAAGATTAATAAGGGAATCGGGCAACCAAAGAAATGAAGTGCGAGGAACACCTCTACACTAATTAACCCGTATCAAATTCTTCTGGTGTGCTTACGGTGCAGCAAGACGCGAGGTCTTAAAAAGATGCATTCATGGCTTTTTTAGCGAAAGAGCCATTGGTTTAGAAACTCCATGGAGTTTTTTCACTGTCAGTTATACATGTAAAAATATTTCTAAGTAGCCATTTTACAGTTCTTGCAGTTGATAAAGCTCAAACAACAATTTAAACCGTTCTTGCACTCACTTAAAATTCTGACAATCCTCTAGTGCCTTGGGGTTGGGCATGCTGTTTTCTACGGGGTTATGTAGGGTTTAGGGTTTAGGATTTCATCCTTTGGGTCTTGGGTTGGGGTCTTCGGTGATAGGTTGTTATGGTTTGGGTGCCAGGGGGTGGTGCACGGTTAGAAAATGGAGATGGTCTCGGCTAGCTCAGTGATCTCTGCACCCTTAACCCTACACCCTAAATCTCAAAAAGTTTGAGCAAAGACACCGCCCCAATGTCAAGATGCCCATCGAAGGTCTCGAAACCCACCTCGGGGAGGGGAGGGGGGGGGGGGGGTCATTCTTCCCCATGGAAGTACTGTAAGGTCGGAAGAACTATTTTTCTAGAATAACCACCAAAACTCTATTCCCCAATATTGAGGAACCCTATATTACCATGGTTGCAATCAGACACCCGGTGGGGGTTCCCGGGCATCAGCCAGACTGACAGCCGGCAGTTTAGGGTTTAGGGTTTAGGGATTATATGTTCAGTATCCTCTTGGGGTTTAACGAAAATAACAGATAATTCTAAGGGGGATATAGGAACATCGTGCAATGTAAAAATTTTCTGGGTGTTCTACCTTGGACCCTTAAGGTTGTACCCTTGGGTTTTGGGACCCCTTTCTAAGCATCCCTAAACAAATATAGGGCCATATTAGGAGTATATTCAGGGGAACCTTTAGGGGTACAACGTTCGGGGTTACGAGTCTGAATCCGTTGAGTTACTGGATTCTTGCCCCAGAACCGAGCTGGACCCCAGGCACCATTCTTCCGCACCTGACAAGTGTCTCGAGTTGAGCGTCCCACATGCTAACCCTAAACCCTTCGTGTCGCTCAAAATTCGCAAGTCCCAAAGCCCAGGAGCTTGCCATCGCCGTGAGCTGCCATCGAAGGAGCCCAGAATGCCAACATGCCCGTTCAGGTACCTTGCTCATCACATTCTTAGGGTTTAGGGTCTAGGGTCTAGGGTTTAGGGTTTAGGGTTAGGGTTTAGGGTTTACGGTTCAGGGGTGGCTAAGGGAAGCTTAAGGAGCCTTAGGGAGTAGTAGGGAGTATAGGCCTGTCGTTGGTGGCTAGTTACCTGGTAGTGGATACAGCACGCGGAAGCCCTTTTGACTTTGTAAGTAGGGCTACGTAGTAAAGTGGGCGGTGGGGATTCTCATAGGTAGGTCTCCCCACCACTGCCACCCTAAACCCTAAACCCTAAACCCTAAACCCTAAACCCTAAACCCTAAACCCTAAACCCTAAACCCTAAACCCTAAACCCTAAACCCTAAACCCTAAACCCTAAACCCTAAACCCTAAACCCTAAACCCTAAACCCTAAACCCTAAACCCTAAACCCTAAACCCTAAACCCAAAACCCTAACCCTAAACCCTAAACTAAGCCCTCGTGCAGAGGCAGCTTGGGGCAACTGTCATTTGGGTTCGGGTCTCCTTCCGTGCCCGGTGACGCGAGGTGCGTGGCGCCCACGGAGCCCGCTTGCCACCGCACCATGACGCGCATGCCACCTGCAGTGGCGAAACCGACGATCGTGACACTCCCCAGGAGCTCTGCAAAAGCGGGATGATGTAGCTGTACTTAGGGTCGGGTAGTTAGAACTTGAGCTTCACTCAGTCAGAACAAACCTGAAGCGAGATCTCGCCAATTCTGGGTAAGACATATCACAAGTCACGAAGGAAAGTCTAACTGACACACCTACGTATGATCTCGTAAGATCTCGCTGGCTGAACCTCCTTGAGCGACATCTCTCTACATCCGCCTCGGATCTATGACAATGCTCACTTCCACAGGACAACTCCCTATGGCTCCCACACATCCGCAATCCTGAAAGTTTCTCGGCAGCCTTCAGGTTTAGGGTTTAGGGCTTAGGGCTTAGGGCTTAGGGTTTAGGGCTTAGGGTTTAGGGTTTCGGGGTGTTTAGGGTTTCGGGGTGTTTAGGGTTTCGGGTTTAGGGTTCGGGGTTTAGGGTTTAGGGACACGGCTTGCCTTCCAACTTCTGGCCGCAAGCCGACGTCAGCTGCCCTCCCGCGCGCACCGCCAGCTGTCGGGCACCCTGGGCGGCCTCTCATGCAGGCAAAGCATCACCGACAGGAATCATGACAGCGTGACCGCTTACCCTAAACCCTAAAGCCTAAACCCTAAACCCTAAGCCCGAAACCCTTCTGAGCACGGACTGAGGAAGCTGCAACCCTAAACCCTGACGAAACTTTCCGGCCTTGCGTTCGCCCACTTCCAGAAGTAAGCGGATGGTCCCCATCACCTCAAGACAACGCGTGCACTTTACGTGCACTCCCAGAGCATATGCACTGCATACTCGCCCCGTTAGAGCATGGCGGCCCCTGAAAAATCCACCACTACTTGGAGGTTCATGGGCACCTACAACCCCAATTAGAAGTCTACGTATAACCTACTTAGGGGACAGTCAGGGCTGTTACGTGCAGTTATATTTTGGCGTTATAAGTGCCAGCAAGCTGGCCCCAAACCCTAAACCCTAAACCCTAAACCCTAAACCCTAAACCCTAAACCCTAAACCCTAAACCCTAAACCCTAACTAGCGACAGCAAATCCAGGAACATGCCAGGCCTCTTGCACATCCGCATCCCAGAGATGCTCCGCGCCCTTCCTCCACAGGGCAGGCAGCCCTCCTGGTCGGGGGTTTAGGGTTTAGGGTTTAGGGTTTGGGGTTTGGGGTTAGGGGTTTGGGGTTTTTAGGGCTTAGGGTTCCACTCCCGCATTGCTGGACATAGCACACGGCCGTGGCTCTTTTTTCATACGGAAGATGCCGACAAGTGTCCCCCGGAAACATGTAGGGCTTCGACGCTCACACTGGCACAGGCCGGCAAGGCTCTTCTTTCAGGTGTGAAAGCCGTGGACTCAGCGCCGACGAGCCAGAGTACGCCAAACGGACTACTTACTGCATGCATCCGTCACGTTCGGCACTGGATCCACACAACCTTTCATGGGGTCTTGTACACCTGCGGTACCAGTTGGCTACAGAGTCCACACTTCTTGGTTTGCTTCCCCACTCCTCTGTACAGGCAAGGCAAAAACCCAGCGGGAGAAAACACCCTTGCCGCGGCCTGCCACGGCCGAGTGGGAGAAACCCTTAAGGCAAGCCCTGGCAACTCTCCCCTCAAGCTCACTGCGCAGAAACGTAGACCAACATGGACCACTTGGGGATGTTCACCATGATTTTGCCGGAGTCATCCGCCTTTGCCTCAGGCGTAGCACTGCCATCCCAGCCGCCAAACTCCTTGGCCTGTGAGTTCAATGCCAGTTTCCAGGTTCTGCCTCCGCCCCAGCCAGTACTGACTCCGTAGCCGTCACTCTCCCACTGAGACTCCGCCAGATGGACGATGCCTTACTTCTCCAATAACCTAGGAAAGACAGGGTTAAACTTTATTTTCCTACTAAATAAGGAAACCCAAAAAGTTTAAAATACTCTTGGCGAAGTAAGATACACAAGGCCGCGGTCTCCTGTGTCCAACGCATGAATGCAAGGACTGTGCTGCCGCCATCCTCATGCACAAACTTGACTTCGTCCCTGGTGAGGGGCTCACCTTACTTTTGTTTAGCAGGGAATGAGGGAATTAGGGCCCTATACATACACTTGAAACAATTATTTAGGATACCTGATTGCCCCATTCCCTGCTAACCAACAGTAAGTCACAGGACAGCCGCAGCTTGTTGGAAGCTGTTACGAATGCACGCATCTCTGCTGTGTGAGGGTCACCACCTTCAAGCAACCCCCAGTTGAGCCGGTGGTGCTTGTCAACATGCCACCAATCTTCCTGCAAATTCTCCGTGCCCATAAACGTCATCGGAAGACCTTTACAACCTCGGTAGCCCAGCAACCATATTAAAACAAGGGCACCCTTTTTTGGGGGGTACTTTAGAAGAGAAGTTTGAACCAACAAAAAGGAGAAACAAAAATACCACTGGGCTACCAAGCGACAGTTCTGGAATCCAAACCAGGCGCGGCACTGCGCGCGCGCATGCCAGTTGCCCTTGCCACCCAGGCGGCTGACGTAGTAGCCTTAAAAGGGTTTAGGGCTTAGGGTCTAGGGTCTAGGGCGACCCAGGAGTACCCCTAGGAATATGAAGGGTGCCCTTTTTGGCTTAAAGGGATATACGAGCGCACCCTAAGACCCCCTCAAAAAAAAGGGGACGAAGGGGTCGACTCCCGGGTCCCAGGAGCGGTGGGTGCCATGCCCATCTTGCTTTCCGTTGTGCCGGTCGCCGATCTGGTCGTGGGACCCCAGCAAGGAGTGCACCCCGCCGATGTTGCCGAAGCCGTGCGGCGCAACCATGTTCTTCCTTGAGAACCAAAATGAACCCTAAAAGGGGTTCATGGTTCATATTGCCTTACTAGGGATTAGAGTAGTACAGGGGTTCATATTACCTTCATAGGGGTTCATATTACCTTCATAGGGATTATAGTAGCGCAGGGTATAAAGGGCCCCAATTTTAGGGTTCCATTTTGGTTCCCCAGGTTCAGCATGCTCAGACGCTTGTTTGGATCATCCCCGCCATCGGAGCCCTTCATGATCTTCACCGAGTCGAAGTGGGTGGCGTGAAGCCAGCACGAGTGGAACCCGGCATCGTGGAGCACCTTCGGATTCTCCGGCGTGATCTCCGCGATGAGGATCTTGTCTGGGTAGTGGGCCTTGATCTCGAAGGTGAGCTGTTGCAGAAGCCACCTTGGGGATGTTCCCTAAACCCTAAACCCTAAACCCTAAACCCCATTAAGGACTCTTATAGTCTACCGGGGGGGGGGGGGGGGAACATTCCCAAAAGCCCCACCAGGGCATGTTGTGCACCGAGTCGAATCGCAAGCCGTCCACCCCATACTCTTCAAACCACGTCCGGCACGACTGCTTGAGGTAGTCCTTTCAGGGAAGAAAACCCCCCAGAAGGGGCCCTTGAATCTTATTCCCTGAAAAGAACATATTATATATATATATATATACCTTATAGTCTCTTTCTACCTAGGTAGCCCCTAAGCGACCCCTGAAGAACCCCTGAAGAACCCCTTACAAAGAAAGGGTCCCTCCTTGAGTCCCCCGCAAGCTCCTGCACCTCAGCCTTGTGGAAGGCAAAGCGCTTGCCCCAAGGCGTATCCTTCTCGCCTTCGAAGTAGATCCCGCCGCAGTTGTCTGGGCCGTAGCCTACTTGGCTGCACTCAGACGGGTAGCTATCAACGAAATTTTTCAGCTGCCTTATTAAGAAACCCAATCAACCCACAAAGGCCAAAGATCTACATATACAGTAAAGCACCACCAAGCCTGGGACGGCCCTTAAAGCCCTCCAAAAAAGGCGTTCCCAAAGATGGTCCTCTTAGACCTAACAAAGCCCCAAGGGCATGCTCAGAAGAAAACCAACCCCTAAACCCCTCAACCCCCAAACCCCCTTTTTTTTGAACCCGTGCTGAGGCCGGGGCATGCCCCTAAACCCCGAAACCCCTAAGCCCCTAAACCCTTTTTGCCCCTAAACCCGTAAAACCCTAAACCCTAAACCCTAAACCCTGAACCCTAAACCCTAAACCCTAAGCCTAGCAGCCGTCCCAGTTCCAAAGCACATTCATCTTCGACGAGCCGTGGTTGAGAACCACGTCGAAGAGCACCGCCATGCCAAGGCCGTGCGCACGCTGCACCATTGCATGCCTCACTTCTCCCCAAGTAGCCCAAAAAAAGGGAGGGTTTAGGGTGTAGGGTCTAGGGTTTAGGGTTTCGGGTTTGGGGTTTCGGGTTTGGGGTTTAGGGTTTAGGGTTTAGCGTTTAGGATTTAGGGTTTGGGGTTTAGGGTTGGGCTTAGGGTTTAGGGGAGTTAACTTTAGTATTCTTACGGAAAAAGCCCCCCCCCCCCCCAAAAAAAAAAAAAAAAAGTGTATAAAGTTCAACTACTGGCCCAAGGCAAGACGCATGTCGGCCGCTGAGCCCCATGGCCCGTGCGCCGCCAGCAACTGCCGCGAGTTGTAGCCCCAAATGCCTCCGAACTCGGCGGTGGGCATGAACTGGATGCAGTTGAAACCCAAAGATGCCTTAGTAGTCCATAGGAACCATATGGTCATCGGGTTTCGGGCTTACGGTTTGGGGCTAGGGTTTAGGGTGTACCCTTTTTGGGGCTTGGCTACGTTCTACGGGAAGCGAGAACCACCAGAACAAGGGGGCAGAAGGGTACCACGGGGCTACCAAGATGCGACGTGCTCCAGCTTCTCCGCCGTTGCAGCGAAAGCCCGCTTCTCGTCCGCTTCAGAAACAAAGCTGCCAATGTGCAGCTCGTAGAGAATCAGCTCGTTGAAAGTGGGGGCAGCGAAGGACGGGGGAGGCGTCACTGGAGGATGCCTAGTTCATGGTTGGGATAATGTTAAAAGTTTAAATCTATAGTCCTTATTGGGTTTAAGTACCCTTAAAAATGCAAAATGGTACCCAACTATGACAAAGATGCAGAATGCACCACGCGGAGTTGAAGTCGCACTCCCGTGCGCACGGGTCGCGACGGAGCAGTCGCGCTCCCTCCTGGTGAAAGCAGTCGTTCCTTGGATGGCTCTTAAAGGGTTCAGGGTTTAGGGTCTTGGGTTTAGGGTTTAGGGTTTAGGGTTCAGGGTTCAGGGTTTAGGGTTTAGGGTTTAGGGCTTTATCCTGAAAATGATCATCTTAAACCAAAGAGGGGAAAACATAAAATGTCGCAAGTGCCTACCTAGGTTCCAGTTGGAACCCATGGCAATCCTGTAGCGATCTCCGGGTTTGCAGGGAGCCTCCCCAGACCAGAAGTCACCTTCTCGCGTCAGTCGCACCTCGGGTTTAGGATTTAGGGTTTAGGGTTTAGGGTTTAGGGCTTAGGGTTTAGGGCTTAGGGCTTAGGGCTTAGGGCTTAGGGCTTAGGGCTTAGGGTTTAGGGTTTAGGGTTTAGGGTTTAGGGTTTAGGGAGTCGCACCTCCTTCGCGTCGCCACCTTCCGAATCTTGTAGCTCGACGGCTACATCTTCTCCATGTGGAGCCCATACACGGAAGGCACACACCTGGGGGTTTACGAAAATAGGGTTTAGGGGTTTAGGGTTTAGGGTTTAGGGTTTAGGGTTTAGGGTTTAGGGTTTAGGGTTTAGGGTTTAGGGTTTAGGGTTTAGGGTTTAGGGTTAGGGTTTGGGGTAGACCCCCCCCAAATAGTAGGATTCCCTTAGGAGAAGGGCCCCGAAATAAGGTACCCCCAATCTCGGACACCACCATGATACCCTTCATCAAATTCCCCTATACAACTCCTATATAACCGCTATATACATATATATGTATATATATATATATATTTTTATTTATTTATATTTATATTTATATTTGTTTTTATTGTTATATTTATATATATACATATGTATGTATCCCCCTAAGTTGCCTCTGCCGAAATCCATCGTGGGCCGCAAGCGTTGGCGAGCTGCCAACGGGGATCTGCGTCGCCCGCCATGGCCGGGGGATGCGACTCACTGGTCGTTCCGAGAACTGGGAAGTATCCATGCTCTTCCATGACCCTAAACCCTAAACCCTAAACCCTAAACCCTAAACCCTAAACCCTAAACCCTAAACCCTAAACCCTAGCAACTAAACCCTAGCAACTAAGCCCGATACGGTTTGCTGCCCTTCGGCTTCTTTCTTGTCCTCATGAAGACTCAGGCATGTAGACACGAAGCCCTGTGCACCTTGGAGATGCCTGCTGGCCTGCTATCTGCTTGAGGCTTAGGGTTTAGGGTTTAGGGTTTAGGGTTTAGGGTTTAGGGTCTAGGGTCTAGGGTCTAGGGTTTAGGGTTTAGGGTTTAGGGGTTTAGGGTTTAGGGTTTAGGGTTTAGGCCATGCTCAGGAATGCAAGGGCAAGCAGAAGTTTAGGGTATTCTTAGGGTAGCTTCGTGGTCCCTGAGTATGGGCCCTTGAAAGGGACCCTTGATACCCCTTATATACCGTCCAAAATCCCAGGGCCTATACTTGAGAAACCTTTAGAGAAGGCAAGGGAGCATATTCAGGGCCCATGTAACTACCCTTGCGAGTAAGGCCCAACTCGCCTTCGAAGGCTGTGCCCAGAGCTTTCTCTGAGATACGGCTGAGGGCGCCTGAGCACCACAGAGTTTTGCGAAGTTTTTCGATTCAGCATCGCTGAGTCAAGGATTCAGGGACCCATCTAATTCTTGTACTGGCCTTTGTCCTTAGGGACTGGGTAGGAAACCTTGAACCTTCTTGGTTATCTAGAATCCTACATGTAAAAGGTTAACCTTTTTGGGGCTAGGGTATTCAGCCGCTAAGTGTCGGGATTAACGTACCTAAATCCCCCACTCGCAAGCAACTGGATCGCAACATACTGCGGGGCGACAAGGGATGTGAGGGTGCAAACTACACCTGCTCCTGGTCTACGAGCGGCCACGAGCGTGGTATGAGGTTCATCGGGATTAATTACAAACGCTCACGTTCCAGCAATGCCCCGCCTCAGTCGGATGCAAACCATGTTTTAAACTCGAAAAAGCGCGCCGTGCTGCTGATGGCTTGCGGCGGCATGTACGGGAAGGTGTCGGTGAAGGAGAGCGCCACCGTCGACGACTTCCTGCTGAGACCCTAAACCCTAGGCCCTAAACCCTAAACCCTAAACCCTAAACCCCAAACCCCACCCTAACCCTGAACATGGCTGAAGGCTTCGCACACAGGATCCTGCCTGCAGGAAGCAAGCACCGGCTGATGCTCTCGTAGCCTCAGGCACTAGGGCCGAAGGGAAAAGTCGGCTTGACAGCTTGTGTGGGGCTTAGGGGGATGGGGTGGCTGAGGTCTTGGGTCAGGTGGGTTGGGCGATGGCACCGTTACTCGAAAGTCTCATCCAGACACGACGCCAAGACATGTGAGGTAATTACTGCAGGGTGTGGGCCACCTTGCTGGTCTAATATAGGGCTCTCGCGATGGAGCTTCGGCCCTTCTTTGTTCTGCCACTGCCTGGCTCACCAAGTCGCAACTACAGGGCACACACGGCCCAAGATGGCCCAAGCGTGCCATCACTCAGAAATCAGGGGAAGGATTCATGAAGCAAGCCATTTTCACACATCAAACAAGCCCTCTGTCAGGGCTCGCATGCCTTCGTCGTCCCCGTCGTTGCTCGTCCCCAGCTGAGTTGGGATTGCACTGCTAAGAAGGTCGTCAAGGGCGTCTTGATCATCATCAATATAAGGATCATCATCCATATAAGGCTCATCGCCACCTAGATCATCAGTCTGCCGCTGTTCGGCAAGATTCGCCATTTCCACGGCGTCATCGGCATCATCGGCACGTCGGCCGACCAGCGACGCCAGAAGCGAGGCCGCCGAGGTTCGCACGAGGTAAGAAGGCCTGGCCGCCTTCGTTGTCCAAAGCTCCAGCTGAACCGACTCTGTTTCAGAGTCTTCGCCGGCGGTAACCATGTAATTGACCTTCCTCACAGGTGAGAAGAGAGGAGGGACAAGCAGCCAGCGATCACATCGCAGGCGCTTTCGGTACTCTTCGAAGGCGGGTGCCATTTCCCACTCCGACTGCGAGGCGCGTGTGGCTTCGACCTCAAATTCGATCATTGCAGGGGCGGAGATCTGCAGCAAGTGCTGATCCCCGAGCGGCAAATGGGTGGGGCTTTCGTAAAAGGCCGAGCTGTCCACCATGTCCAGATCTTGCGCCTTGACAGGGCAAGGGCCACATCGCCGCGTGGCCCAGCGCCAGACATCGGGCTCGTTGGGGTGCTCCGATGCCATGCCAGACAGCGGAAGGTCGGGGGGTGCCTCCCAGGGTGCTTTGGCCACCGTCAGCTGCTGCACGCTGCGCACGACGTCGATCATCGACTCCTGGACGCCGGGGACCGACGCGAACTCGTGGAGGGCTGGCTGCGCTCGGGAAACGTAGACCTTCCCCTGATCCACGTTGTAGGAGCGATAGCGGAGGCGGAAGGCCACTGCGGCGTAGGTTCTGAACAAGTCCTGCCGCAGCAGCGTTCTACGCAAGGTGTTGCCCACTGTTGCCCCCTGGCGTGGTGGAATGCCATCCACGCGGAACCTGCCGTAATACAAAGCCCCAGTGTCTTCTTCCTCTTCGATCTTCCACTCCTGGGGTCTTGGGCCACTCAGCTCCTCGCCGGTATCGCCACCCAGAACCTGCACCCCGTCCTGGAAGACCTGGATCAGCGTGTCCTCTAAAGGAGGAGCTGCAAGAGACCGAAGGGAACATCGAGGTTGACGCTTCCTCCCATGCCGGGTGACAGGCGCATTGCGAGCAAGGATGGCGACGCTCAGCACACCCACCAGGCCGGCTCTGGTCCACTCCGCGTCTCCCTCGGCCAACCGGCCTGGAAGACGGCGGCCAACACACGGCGCCGTCACTGGCTGCCTGCGTGTTCTGCCAGGAGTGCTTGGGGCCAGCGGCTCCATTGCCGAGGACACCTGAAAATTCTGAGAGGATCGGATCCTAAACGGCACGAATGTAACGGTGCAGTACGGAGTATTACGAGGCACCCATCCTCAAGAGCGTTCCACGAAACCAAGGTGCCCTTAGGTGCCTCTGCTACAAACGCCACCAGCTTTGTAGCAACATCTTGGGGGGGGGGGGGGGGCTGAGTAGGCGGCTGAAGGTTTAAGAAGCAAAGCCAGATGATCTCCCTCCCTGCACACAACGTGGCTTGATTGGAAGGCACTCGGAAGTTGTTAGTTGAAAAGCCCAAGAACAGCTCCACGATCCGCTGCAGGATGCCAAGCAAGTCCTTGCAGGGTTTATAGGGCTTAGTGTTTAGGATTTAGGGCTTAGGGTATCTGTGGCGCAGGGTCTCTTAGATGCAGTGACCGGATCCGCAGAGGCTCAAAAGGCGATCCGCATGGACATAGCGACCGGCGGTATGCAGCACACTTGCAAAACACCCTGGGAAAGACCCAGGTAGAATTCCTAGCATGGCCCTTAACACCCTCTGAAAGACATTCCTGAATATGATCCTCTGAAACCCACTAAGGGTAAAGATTAACTGTCCCAACCCTAAACCCTAAACCCTAAACCCTAAACCCTAAACCCTAAACCCTAAACCCTAAACCCTAAACCCTAAACCCTAAACCCTAAACCCTAAGCCTACGTAGACTCTGATGCAAAGCCTCCAAAGGCGGGGTCCTCCTTGGCCAGCTGCGACCCCTCGCTCTCTCCACCTCGAGCCACGGTTCCAGCATCCGTGGCGCGGGCGAGCCGTCGATGGAGCCCTTGGCTTATTTCGGGTTTAGGGTTTAGGGTTTAGGGTTTAGGGTTTAGGGTTTAGGGTTTAGGGTTTAGGGTTTAGGGTTTAGGGTTAGCAGGCTGGCGCTCGGGTTCCAGGGTTCTAGGGCTTACCATGGCTCTAGGGTTCTAGGGCTTACCAAGGCCCAGGCTTCTTGAGGCTTGTGAAACCTAGCAGCCCGAAACCCTAAACCGTACCCTAAACCCTAAACCCTAAACCCCAAACCCTAAACCCTAAACCCTAACCCCCCCAGCCCCTAAACCCAGCCCCCGGGCGAAGTGCATCGAGCCTCGTTTCGCGAGCCGCCCTTGCTGGGCTTCACGCTTCGCCCAGGCCTGCGCAACGCAGATGTTTAGGGTTTAGGGTTTAGGGTTCAGGTTTTTCCTTTCTTTGATTATTTTTTTTTGTGGGGGGGGGGGGGGGGGGGGCGGGGCCGGCCGGGAAGGGGGGGGGGGAAGTGAGGCGTTGTGTGTGTGTGTGTGTGTCCTTGGTCAGTGTCACAAAACCCTAAGACTCCCGAACTTTGAATCTCTGAGCCCATATTGAATTGCGATTTGCAGGTCAGCCCCACCCTACGATAGAGATACCCCTAAACCCTAAACCCTAAACCCTCAACGCTAAACCCTACACCCTAACACCCTAAACCCTAAACCCTAAACCCTAAACCCAAAAAACCCTAAACCCGAAACCCGAAACCCTAAACCCTAAACCCTACCCTAAACCCTAAACCCTAACCCAAAGAACAGCGCCTGCCACCAGCCCGGGCAGCGAACCGCCAAGGTACGGTCCCAGAGCCTCCGCGCGGAAGACACCTGAACTGACTCGCTCGTTTCATAGGGACATGGGTAGCTCTCTAAGTTTGGGTTTAGGGTTTAGGGTTTAGGGTTCAGGGTTCAGGGTTCAGGGTTTAGAATTTAGGGTTCATAAGGGTGCCGTCTGTCTATGGAGTCCTTATATGCTGCCCTATAGGATCCTTTCTAAGGGATTGTTGGGGGGTATTTCGCTCCCTAATTCCCGTGAAATGTTGGGCTCTGGGGCTTCATTTTGCGAAACCCTGAGCCCTAAACCCTAAACCCTAAACCCTAAACCCTAAACCCTAAACCCTAAACCCTAAACCCTAAACCCTAAACCCTAAACCCTAAACCCTAAACCCAAACTGGAATAATCCTGTCTAGATTTGGAGTAGGATGTCTGAAGGAGACAGGGCACTTCCCGACTCCCCCCACCCAACCCTAACCCCTGAACCCTAAAACCTAAACACCCTAAGCCCTAAACACCCTAAAGCCCCTCAACCGTCTAAACCCCTCTCTCTCTCTCTCTCTCTCTTTCTCTTTCTCTCTCTTTCTCTCTCTTTCTCTCTCTTTCTCTCTCTTTCTCTCTCTTCCTCTCTCTTTCTCTCTCTTTCTCTCTCTTTCTCTCTCTTTCTCTCTCTTTCTCTCTCTCAGGCACTCGAAGCCCCCCCCCCCAAAAAAAACCCCCTAAACCGTGAAACCCTATGTAAACCCACCAAGCCTCAAGCCCGCGGCACTGCAGGGCGGCAAGGACGCTCTCCTTGCCTGACCACTTGGCACCCAGGGGGCGAAGTAGCTCTGGGCTTTTGGGTTTAGGGTTTAGGAGTTAGGGTTTAGGGTTTAGGGTTTAGGGTTTAGGGCTTAGGGCTTAGGATTTAGGGTTTAGGGTTTTAGGGTTTAGGGTTTAGGGTCTAGGGTCTAGGGGTTAGGGTTTGGGGTTTAGGCCTCAACACGAAGCCGGAAGGGTTTAGAGAATTTTCTCGCTCCCGCATAGCAGACACGAAACGAGTCAGCAGGGTTCATGTGGCTTAGGGGTTAAGGCATAGGGTTGAGGATTTGTTGCCAAGGGTTATGGGGGCCCTTTCAAACCCTGTGGGCGTCCAAGGTGCTCACGGGGCGCTTGTCTGCCACAATGGTTCCGTACAGTCTTCTCGTGGCAACCTGCCATCAGCGCTGAGAAAGGACTTTGTGCAAGTAGCTACTTGTAGGCTGGAGGCCAGACCCAGACTCTGATTAGAGGCATTCACCTGAATTCATCAGAATGATTCCCATACCGCCCTAAACCCTAAACCCTAAACCCATTGTGCTCCCGGGAAACTGCAAGTCGGATGAAGTTCAGGTCGGTTTAGGGAACGGGCTGAGGGAGTCAAGCGGAGGGGAGTGACAGGACATGGGGGGTCACATCATGTCTTCTTGGCCAAAGCTCTATGTCCTTAAACCCCAAAACCCTTGTTGCAGAAACCTTAAAACCGAACCCTAATCATTGCCCAAATCCAGGTTGGCTTTTGGAGGCCGCCTCGTACCACACGTTCGCACTCGGCTTGCCGGGCCCATCCTGCAGGAGTTCGGGGTCTGTTGGCTTGTTCTTCCCTAAACCCTAAACCCTAAACCCTAAACCCTTTTTAAGCACGGACTGAGGAAGCTGCCGGCGACACCTGAAAGTAGCAAGACTTGCACCAACTGGCGAAACTGAGGTCATCTTCAACTGGAACATATCTCCCATAAGAACATTGAGGTACAAAACACTGTCTTCTCGCGGTCTTCACGAGACTCCAGCATACTCGAAGCTCGACTTCGTCAAGCAAAGACCAGCCTACTCCCACACTCAACTTTCGGTTTCGGGCTGACTTCGCATCTGTGCCAACCTCTCCTGTCTGCGCTGTTGTCTAGCGGTCATCTTGTCCTGACGGCACTGATCCTTCAGCTGCTGCAGTGTTTGGGGACGCTCGTGTGTCGTATGCGGAGGAAACGTCACACAAGAAGACCCCATAGACACAGACTCCTGGAGCCTTTCCGGTTCATGTCGTATCTTGCCCTCGGTGAAGCTACTCTTCCTTTCATCAGGCCATGCAAGCAGCACGTCATCCGAATCACCTGGCACAAGCGGGTGCGTAGATGTAGCCGTTGATGATGATGCATCGCGTGCCATGATTTGCCCTTTCAACTCTACATTTTCGGCATGAGCCTTACAATAGCCTGTGCCTTTTCCAGAAGAATGTTTTGACAGCTTGCAGCGATTTGCTCCATCAGCGCCTCACATTGTGGCCGTGTGATAATCTCATGCTGAGTCTGACTTGTGGCATCCTGAGATCTGTGGAAACAGTGTCTTGACTCGACCTTAGCTTCTGCGCCAAGCACAAACATGGCGAGCGTCTCACCCAGATGGTTTTTCACCTCCGGTTGTTTCAATCTGCCAGCGAGACGCATCGCATACGCAATGCATGATGTGAGTTTCCGTTCTCCAGGGCTCTCCATTGCAGGACTGACACAAACAAGCTATACAAGCCGTGCCCAGTAGGGCCTCGTAACCAAATGGCCTTGAGCCAAAATGGCACCCTAAACCCTAAACCCCAAACCCCAAACCCTAAACCCTAAACCCCAGCCAGGGTTTCCACTCTCACACTCGCGCACAGGCAGGCAAGGCGCACTCTCTCGGGGTTCAGGGTTTAGGGCTTGGAGGGTGGGCTTATAGAAATGCAAGGGGCTTGGACGCCTAAACCCCAAACCCGAAACTCCAAACCCTAACCTGCAATCCCTAAATCAAAACCCCATAACCCCACACAACCCTGGACCCTAAACCCAAAACCCCCCGTGTCCTTCGTCAGCTCCACTGTCAGAAGCACTTCGGTGCCGTAGGGCTCAACCAGGTGGAAGTCCTTCGCCCCACAGAAACCAAGGAGCCGTTCACACGCGTTAGGGTTTAGGGTTTAGAGTTTAGGGTTTAGGGTTTAGGGTTTAGGGTTTAGGGTTTAGGGAAGTTTAGGGAAGTTTAGGGAAGTTTAGGGAAGTTTAGGGAAGTTTAGGGAAGTTTAGGGTCTAGGGTCTAGGGTTTAGGGTTTAGGGTTTAGGGTGTAGAGTTTAGGGTTCAGGGTTTAGGGTTTTGGGTAGTGAAAGGACCCAACTCAAGAAGGCCATCGAAGAACAGAAGCTCTACCCCCCCCCCCCCCCCCCCCAAGCACACGCAGCTGACAAACCCTAAAAACCTAAACCCTAAACCCTAACCCCTAAACCCTAAACCCTAAACCCTAAACCCTAAACCCTAAACCCTAAACCCTAAACCTGCCAGAAGCAAAGAGAGTCCCGGCCGTGCAGCGTCGCCCCATCGGCATTCACGGCCAGCTCCACCTGCACGGCCTGCAGGCTTAGCACTTCCACTTCTAAGAGG